AGCATGTCCCCCGAGCCCAGCCGCAGCCTGGGGCAGTAGGGCCATGAGGGATGGTGTGCACAAACACCCCACCCCACCATCCCCATCCCAGGCCACCCCCACACTCACACACGGACGTCCAGCATGATGCGCTTGTCCTCCTCCACGTGCAGCCCCCAGATGCAGTCTTGGCCCTTGCCGTATGCCTCTGGCCAGTTGGGTGACAGCACCACGCCAGCTGTGTCTGTCAGCTCCCCACTGCACACCGCTGTGGGCACACACTGGGCTTGGCATCGCTGCAGGGCACCCACCACAGCACCCACCACCCAGTGCCCAGCACCCAATCCAGCATCCCAGCTCTAGCACCTACCATCCACTTTGGCTCTGGCTCAAGTATGTACCACAGCACAATGGCTCCAGCATCCTGTCTCCAGCACCCACTCATTGAGTTCAGGTCTCACCATATTCTTCAGCTCCAGCATGCACCATAGCATGGTGATTCCAGCATCTCTCATACCTCATCCCCAGCTCCAGCGCCCACAACCACCCTCCAGACCCAGCACCCACTGATCCCCCAGCTCCAGCCTCCCTGGACCCTCAGTCCTGGTGCCCACCACGACATGCCGGCTCCGTCTCATTCCACTGTGGGTCACTGGGGTCGACGCACTCGATGATGGTGGAGCCTTGTTCCAACGTGTATCCAGGGTCACAGCTGAACTCCACTGTGGTGCCCACAGGGTACCGAGGATCGCTGGTTGTGAAGTTCCCGTACTTGACAAAGGGCTCATAGCAATGGCCCTGCTCGAAGGCTGTGGGCACAGGGGCGAAGGTCTGCAGGGGCCAGGTGGGCACAGGGATGTTTGGGTGCCCCCATATGCCCCAGCCCCATACCCTCATAGCGCAGCGCCATGCCCGCAGCGGCCCCGCTGCTGTCGGTGGTGAGCTCCACGAAGAAGTGGCGCCCAGTGCTGAGCAGCCCCTCGATGGGCAGGTACTCGACCTCATAGGAGTCGTACACTGGCGGTGCCTCCACGTTGTTTCCATTGCGGATAATGAGCCTGGCCAAATCATGGCAGAAGTAGGGTGCTGTCCTGGCCATGGCCAACAGCACCCGTCTTTGGGTATGGCTGGGGGCGCCCAACCCCAGCCAACCCCAGCCATGGCCAATAGCACATCCTTGGGCATGATAAATGGCACCCATCCCTGAGCATGGCCAATGGTATCTTCCTTGAATATGGCCAACAGCACCTGTCCTTGGCCATGGCCAAGGGCTAACAGTGCCCACACTTGGACACAGCCAACAACACTGATCCTTGAATATGACCAATTGCACCCATCTATGGGCATGGCTGTCAGATCCCATCCTTGGATACAGACAACAACCCACCCCTGGCAGCCAAGAGCACTCATCCTTGAACATAGTCCTGCACAGGGCTGCCCCAGGGTGTCCCCACCCCTCCAATCCCCCTTGTTCCAGGGCCAAACCTGTCATCATCCTCTGCCAGAGACACCTTCTCAAAGTGGAGGTGCAGGCGGTGGCCATCAGGTGCCTCCAGCAATCGGGTCCCCCCACCAGCCAGTGGCAGGTCAGGTTGTTGCTGTAGTTCCCGGGGAAGCCAGGAGAGACAATGCGTCCCACTGTGGCATTCCGAATCACCCCACCACACGCGGCTGCAGGAGAGGGACCATCAGTGGCTGGCTGTGCCGTGCTGGCTGTTCCATGTCCCCCTGGTGCCGGTGCTTCCCGAGGCAGAGGGGCTCACGGGCGCTCCAGAAGGGGCGGGTGGCATTGCGGCAGAGCAGCCGGCGGGCACCCTGCAGCTGGTATCCCGTGGTGCAGCGGAAGCGAGCGTCCCCACCGGGGTGCAGGCTGCTGACTGACACCTCCCCAAATGCTGGCCGTGCTGGGAAGGGGCAGCTCAGCAGGTAGGCTGGGGACAGGGGATGACATTACTGAGAGCACAGGGCCAACAAACCCCTCCAGACCCCAGTACCCACCTCCCCACTCCCCCAGGAACTCCTGGGAGCTGCAGGGCTGGGTGACGCGGTGGAGCCCGTAATTGCTCACGCTAATTAGCTCTCCATGATAGTTCTTCACCCGGTCAGTGCCCGCTTAACCCGCCAGTGGCACAGATAAACTTCCTGTGCATTGCCATGCCCTGAATTAGCACCATACCAGCAGGAAAGCCCCTGGTGGCTACAGGGGTCTGTGCCCCATACCTTGGTAGTGGAAGTGGTAGGGGCCAGGGCCGGGGGGCCGGGGGCTCTGGTGGCTGGGCTGCGGATGACCTGGCCCCGCAGCAAGAAGGATTCATTGGCCAGGAGGATGGGCTCCAGGCCCCCTGCGCTCTCCACCGTCATTGTCTCCCCCTCTGCCAGGCTGATGTTCTCTACCTGCAGGGGACACAGGCATCACCACCCCGGCATCACCCAGCATCTGGCTTGGAGATGGTCCTCAAGTGGCTTCTCCGTGGTCGATAACGCGCTGGAGCTTGTCTGCACAGGGCAGCGTCTTTCAAACACGGTTAGCAGTGCCATAAATCATCCCCCACACCAAGAGCAGCGAGGCCCTGCCAATAGCTCTGCCGGAGCACCACGGCACAACCAGGCCCACGCCGACAGCCGGGTGTGTGCTCCAGCCCTCCAGAGCAATTTGCTTTTAATGATGTTAATTAAGCTGTGCTGCACGGTGAGGAGCAGCAGCACGAGCAAGTGTGGGCTGGAGCAGGGTGAAAATGCTGCCTCCAGCTCACCATCAGCTTTTGACAAGCCACAGCACTGCCTCGCGGCGTCTTCAGCAGTGGGTCTGGCAGAGATGGGGACACATGGCCACGTGCCACCAATGGGAGCAGCACATGGCCTCAGCACAGCAGGATTTGCTGTCAGCCTCTGCTTCTAGCAGATGGGCACTGGGTGTTCCTGGCTCTGCAGCACAGCATGGCACCCGCCGGCATTGCTTACACTGTCTCCATCAGGGCTTCATTAATTAAATCCAATGATGCTTCTTCTGTGATGGGTGCCAGTCACAGCAGCCAGTGGGCATGGAGGATCCAGGGGCATCCCACCAGCTCATGCACCCACATCCCTGCACTGGGGCCCAAGGGTGGGCCGTGCCCTGAGCCAGCTCTCCTGGCTTGGGGACGCAGGGATGGAGGCAAGGACAGGGACAAGACCATGTGTTTGCTGCATCCTGCAGGGCCACACAGTCACAGCACAGAGCAGGAGACATGCCACGCTTGGCACCCTGTCCCACCCACAGCCCTCAGCTCACCTTGAGCTCCACTCCATAGCCTGGGTAGACAGAGATGGTGTAGGTGCAGTCCATGCTGCCATCATAGGGGGCAGCAGCTGGCTCTGGGGACACCAGCCAGCCCTCGGGACCCGCCAGCGTCCGGTTGCAGGGAACTGGTGACAGAGGAGACCCTGGCTCAGCTCCACTTCACCCCAGCTCTGCCTGACTCCCTCCCCAGTGCTCACCTGGCCCCTGCAGCGTGGTGACCGTGGTGGTGGTGATAGTGGAGGTGGTTGTGGCCCCCTCCTCATCCCCGGGCACTGCAGCAGCACTGGCACGGGGTGCCAGGGATGTGCCAGTGGTGGTGGGTGCCTGGCTAGGGGATGCTGTGCCTGACTCTGGCACCCCAGAGGGAGACCACGAG